TAAGAAAGGACTTATGAAGCTCTTTGAAGATAGAATCCCATCATTACAGCTAGTTTCAAACTTTGTATGTCAGTGATAGTAATTTGCTTTGAAGATTAAAATGCCATTGGTAATGAAAAATAATCTGAAAAGAGTAAGTTTATAGAACAAATTTTATTAACTATAACTTTAAAATAAAATGTTTTAATATTGGTATTAACATTCCAAACTATTTTCATGAAAATTCTCTTTTGAAAATAATCTTGATTTTTATTAGCTTGTTTTTTATTTTGAATCATGCTATGAAGGCATGATTGAATCAAATATGAAGTATAGAACAATTTAACAGGCTTAATTGTCCTTCAGATAAGATAGAAATGTTTCTGCAATTATCTTGACTAGTCAATAGTGAATTGAGTTGTTGTCTTTAAACACGATGTTGTTTTCATCTCTTGTTATGTTGCCCTAAAGAAATTTAAATATCATATTTCACATGCCAGTTTAGAGAACATTGCTATGAAAGAAATACTTTCAAGAATATTAGTTATGCTATTTAAAATCAATCTTTTATCTGCAAGTAATAGCGTCTTTTTTTCTGACCTGACTAGAACTAAGAAGGTACATCTTAGCCTACAAACCAGGAGATCCGCTAAAGAATAGTACCATTGCTCTGCTCTCAGAACAAATATTGCAAAGTGACCTTTGTTAAGAGAGATTTTCAGTAGATCATAGATTATCATAAATATTTATATTTTTGAATATAGTTAACTTTATATATTTCTCCTTTAGAAAATTTATGCTACTTATTGTAAATTATTCTCTTAGGAATTAGCATGAATATTTGATGTTTTTCTCAATAAAACCTTTTGAAGTAATCTTAAAAGTACTCATAAATTTATGTTGATGTAGGGTTTACTAACATAAATCCCATTTATTTAAGGATAATAGTTTCTATATCATCTAGGCATAAAATTAATATAGTTTTTTTATAACTACTTAGGCTTTTAATCTAATGTAGCTTAATGAATTTACTCATGAGAAGTACTTGATGAAACAGTAATGAAAAGCTCCCTTTCCTGAAAATAACTGAATTTTAATGTGAAAATATATGAATAAATACCATAACTGTTTGATGTATCTAAGGTTTATACAATTAAATTTTATAATTTAATTTTGTTCAGTTGTGCCATGGACGTGCTTCCAAAAATCAAATTTACTAAATTTTGAAAATTCCACAATCACTGTTGAATGGGAAACGGAAGGAATACTAAAGAGTGTGATGCTTGCTTTGATTATGATGCATAATTAAAAATCCAAAAGTAATCATGACTAAAATGGTTTCTCTGTGACATTTTCTTCTTTTTCTCCTTCTATCTTTTCTCTCTTATCTTCTTCATTGTCCTCCCCTACTCCTCTTTAAGCAAATAAAAATATTCTGAATTCAGCCTAATTAATTTCAGAAGTAGAGAGCAGGGATTGGTCATAAGGAGGAATATAAATTAATTTATAAATACAAGTTATCTCATGTTAAAATCAATAGAAGAGAAACTCTAACCGATCTCCACTTAGCCAACTACCTGCATTAACTCAGGTTCTCAGCCTCCTTTGTGGAACATACTAATCAGTTTCCAGGGTAGGCTAACTTCCTTAAGTGGTAGGCACCGTTTTTGTTTTTTTTTTTTAAACAGTTTTAGTTGTTTTATTTTCCATTTCTCTAATTACTAATAAGGTTGATCATTTTTCCATGATGTAGTTCATTTCTTTTCCATTAATCTTTCTATTTTACTTTATTTTTGAAAGAACATCTAACATGAGATTTACTCTTTTAACAGATTTTTGAGTGTACAATACAGTCTTGTTGGCTGGTACAATGTTGTCCAGTAGATCTCCATAGCTTATTCATCTTGCTTAACTGAAATTTTACACCCTTTGATTAGTAACTCCCCATCTCTCCCTCCCCCAGTCCCCAGCAACCACCATTCCTCTCTTTGAATCTATGAGTTTGACTACATTAGAGTTCTCGTATTAGTGGAATCATGCAGTATTTGTCTTTCTGTGACTGGCTTATTTTACTTAGGATAATATTTTTAAGGTTCATCCATGTTGTAGTAGGTATCAGTAGTCCATTCTTTTTTAAGGCTGAATAATATTCCATTGTATACCATATTTTCTTTATCCATTCCTGTTAATGGACATTTGTATTATTTCCATCTTGGCTATTGTGAATAGTGCTGCAGTGTCCCCTGACCATCTCATCTACTTTATGTAGTTATCAAGGGTCACTTTTATTTGTTCCTTAGCATGTTAATGCCATTTGTTCTTATTATTTCATTTTATAATTTAGTTAAATATTGTATAATCTGATGAAACATGAAGGTTAAAAGAGATTTTCTTCCCTTTAAAAATGAAGGGAAATACTTTTGAAGCAGATAAAAGCAAGTTGATCAAAATATATAAAATATTATGAAAAAGTATAATATTGTAGAAGTCTTCTGCATTCAGGTTGCTTTACAGATAGCTTTAACTTTTTTCTCCATTTAAAAACAAATACTAGAAATCAAAGGCCATGAATGGAATTTATAAAAAAAAAATTAATACAGAATCCCAAATAAGTGATTCTTTCTCAAACAAAAGGTCTTGGTTATCCAAAAAACAGTAGCAGTTATACATATGTAACTCAAAAACACTATTTGCATGGATATACCATTTTTATGATTCTTGTTTAATTATTTTATTTGCTTAACCAGTTCAGTAAATTACGTATCCTAGAATTTAAGAAAAGAGGACTTTACTGTACTTTGTAATTTCTTTTAGAAAAAGAAAGTCTAAAGAGAACCTTCCCTTTACTAGACTGAGGCTGGCTGGATTCCGTGGGTGTTGCCACATCTGACTATCTTTAGAAACACAAAGCCCACTTGAGGAGATATGCGTGCTATTTGGGTCTGCTATATCTTCTGGAAATTCTCATGATTTTACTCTGTAAAATGAAGAAAATAATTGACAATAACATGGATGGGAAGCAGGTTTCATCTTGAAAGCCAGCTCTGATTAATTGCTAGTGGCTACTTGAGGATCTGTGCTGAGATGTATCTGTAGCCTCTTCCACTTTGGAGTGGAGTGCCCTGATCCGATAGGGATGCCGCCCATGGGCACAGGATGAGGTAGAACAGTAAAACTATGACAGCGTTGTTCTCCTGAGCTATATCCACATTTCTTTTAGTGTTTGCAGTCCTATAAATGAACAGTTCTCTACCTTTTTCTTTTCCTTCTGTTGGGACACTCCCATCTGTGAATCTCTCAGCATTGGCTAGTTACTACGTAGATGAGAAAGACTGTGGGCTATGCACAGTTCACTCCTTTGGTTCACGCGGGAAACACATCTGTGTTATTTTACCACAAATAAGAAACGACTTCATGCAAATGAAAATCGCAGGATTTGCTTGCTGTCCACTTCTCCAAAATCTGAATAACTACAGTTAGTCTTCACTAAAGAAAATCAATCCCGGGGCCGGCCCGGTGGCGCAAGCGGTTGGGTGCGCGCGCTCCGCTGCGGTGGCCCGGGGTTCGCTGGTTCGGATCCCGGGTGCGCACTGACGCACTGCTTTGGCAAGCCATGCTGTGGCGGCGTCCCATATAAAGTGGAGGAGGATGGGCACGGATGTTAGCCCAGGGCCGTCTTCCTCGGCAAAAAAAGAGGAGGATTGGCGGATGTTAGCACAGGGCTGATCTCCTCACAAAAAAAAAAAAAAAGAAAATCAATCCCTCAAATTTATCTCCAAATATTATCCTCACAATTAAGAGTGCTACAGAGTATGAATGCAACAGGACTATGCCAAAGATCACTATTTGATTTAATGAATCAGGCTGCTAAAACGACTCTCTGCTATTTTCTTCACAATTCTTCACATGGTTTAGAGTTTATTTTAAGGGACCAGCCTTCTTGGATGAAAAATATGATATTTCTAATATACAATGTTCATAAGGTTTATGGTATTAAGAAATTAAATAAGAAATATTACTTTGCAGTAATCTTTAACAAATGTGGAAAATGAAATTGTAACTTTATAATGTAAATGTGACTGGAATTCTTTCTTGGAACATAAAATCAATAAACATACTCTCAGAAGTAAAAGATAATCATTCAATACTATCTTCTAAATGTTCCCCAAGCTCTCAATGTCCCTTGTCATATGTACACATAAAAAATACAGCGTGCTATATAGATGTTAGAGATTACAAGGTTGATGATGGGAATGTGTAGATCCACACATGTTAGGGATAATTTTATTTCAGTTTAATGCCTAGAATGTAACAGACATCAGAAGTCAAAAGAAAGGAAGCCTTATTCATGTAACCATTACTTATTGCATGCCTACAATATGCTAGTGACTATCCTGGTTCTGCCCTTGGGAAATTTACCAACATGCAAGGAACACAGACTCCTAAGTTGATAGTTAAAGAAACTATGTTAAAGGTCAGATTAGGGTTATGCCCAGGCTACTACTGGAATATATCATAAATCTCTGTCATTTCAAATTACGAATTTGTTTTACCCCAACATAAACAAAGTTAGCTTTATTGTATGAGTAAGAAAATTTGAAATTTTTAAGTGCTTATGTTAAAGGTTAAATGGTAACTTATAGTCTTGACTTATCAAATTTATAATCAAGTCCCATCTTTTAGAACACGTGGTATGCGATTTCAGCCTCTTACATGGGATAAATTATAATTACAGCGTAAAACCTGAAAGATTCTCTTTTCTGTTTTTACTCCTCTTAATGATATCATTTATAGTCTACTGGAAGTCACTTTAGGAAATCACGTTAGTCCACTAAGCACTTCAGATAAGGTGATTCCATGAAGCATTCCAAGATTATCACAAGGAATTGCTTTCGCATGCTATAAAAGAGAAAGAAACAAGCAGAATATGGCCTGCTGAAGGAGTTTACAGTTTTACAGCTCCTCCCACTGCAGCACATAAGTCACTCAGTTACAGTTAACTTTGGATTGTCACTCACAGATTGAAAGCCAAGCAGCCATCCCACAGTCTGGGCCTGTGGTGCTCTTGTATGTGTGTTTCTAAATCAATGATGAGGGTGTCGGAACCGATACTGGACATGGATATGGCCAATTACAGCGAAGTTTTGGACCCAACTTATACAACTTTGGAGTTTGAAACTATGCAGATTCTATATAATTCAAATGGTGAGTTCTCAGCTGCGTGTAGAAATCAAGCAAAGTGTGTGTAATAAGAGAAGTAAAGGTGAGCTTCCCAGGTGGTGGCTCCGTGTTTTAATGCTGGAGAATTCAGGGCTGGCTTTTTACGGCCACAAATCTGAGCTTTTGCACTTCATCACAAAATTTAAGTTAATAATGCTATGCCTATTTTATGTCTGAGATAGAAAAAGCCTAGTTATGCGTAATAAAGTAACCTCAGAATTCTGTCATGGGCCGGTTAGGCAAAAAGAGTAGTTTCAGCAGTTATTTTATTTACTGTAAATCACAGTAATAAGTGATATTGGGTGATTGGATGTAAAATATATTTTCTATGCAATATTTAAAATGACATATGGAACAAAGTTTCCGTAGAACCGTGGAGAGTTTTACGGGCTGCCTCCTTTCATTATTCCGGTTCTCCATTGCTGCTCATGAGAAACTGCATTTAAAATTACTATCAAGCTTTTGCATTGAACACAAATATGAAAAAAAATAAAGGTTTATATTATAACTTCACTTGACAAGCTAATGTTTAGCCTCACAAAACTCTTGGTATTTATCTACTGTAACATTTTAACTTTAAATAAGACATGAAATTGTTAGAGTTCATGTCTTTATATAATACAGTTGACTATTGACTTTGAATTTAGATTTTTTTCCAAGTAAAAATCTTGTCTAAGATCAGTTATAATTGTTAGAACTCCTAAAATCTAGTAATTATGTATACTTTGGAAAAAGTGTGTGTGTGTCTAGTTCAAGATTGAGAATGTGTCTGTACTAAGGATATCTTAAGGTTCTACTATGCTACTAAATATTGTTATATTTACAATAAACAATAGCTTATTAGTGGGAAGATTTTTTAAAAATTGTCAGAAGAAGAACTCTGAAATTTAAGCACAAAGAGAGTTAAGATGACCCTGTAGTGCAAATCTTAGGAAGTCACTATTTTGATTCCTTATGTTTAGATTTGATGAGAGATATTTAATAGAGTATTTATCTCGATAGAATCATGATTTTTTTAAAAGACTATAGATTGCTAAATAGTAGGGACAGATTTACCATAAATATTTACTAAAGCAATTGACTTTCCGAAGTGTTGTCTAACTTGTTTTCTTGTAAGAATATTGTTAACAATATGTAAGTGTGGTGTTATACTGGAAGAAAGAGTGGAATTTTTTTCATATTTCCATATAAGCTCCCAGAATACAATCAATTCTTAACAGTTCTAACTGCCATATTTCTAATATCTATTTTGTTTATATTATCAAAAGAAAAATTCCTAGCTTTAAATTCTGTAATGTCACATGATTAACCTTAAGCATATTCTCATTAAGGGTTTTTTTTTAACTTTAGGAAATTATATATGATAATATCTGTCTACTCAGAAGTATTAGTAAGTAGAATATATGTGTTGTCACAGAATGTAATTGGGACATAACAACCTTTAATTTTACCTTTTGTTATATTGGAGATATCATAATGAATTGTTATTATATTTATATTATTATACAATCTTATGAAAATTAAATTTTTAATTTATTACTTTATATATTCAATATACTTTGAGTACATCCAGATTTTTAAAGATGTAGTCAACAATATTAACTCATTTAAGAAATATTTAAGTAAAAATATCTATGTGGAGTTTTTAAGTCTCTGCTTTCAAAACTGTATATTAGATGTCCACTTTATGCCAGATACTATTCTAAGGGCTGGAAGCAGAGGCGTGAGTAAGACAGATAAATTCTCTGACATCATGAAGTTTATATTCTATGAGCAAAGATGGGTAATAAATGAGTAAACCAATGCATAATATAATTTTAGACAATGAAGTAGTTACTTAAAAAAAATAAGTGGGCTTCTAGGTTCTATTTGAAGGTTAGATGGTATGTGATTCTTTTAGTTGTATGTTCAGAGAATATTTCACAGAAAATGTGAGCGTTGAGCAAAAATCAGGTAACCAACTAGAAGAAATTCTTGAGGAATAACTTTCCTTCCAGGCAGAAGGAACAGCAAGTGTAAAGGCTCTGAGATGGGAACAGACTTCAAGGGAAAAAAAAAGGCGACCTTGCTGGAGAATGGTGAACAAGAAGAAAAGTAGTGCCAGATAAAGGGCTCAGAGAGGTGGGAGGGAGGCTTTACAGGCCATAGTAAGATGCATCTGTATCTAAGAGTTGCATGCAGAAGGCTGATATGATGTGAATTTCTTATACCAGGAGCACCTTGGGAGCTTTGGGGTGATAAACAGTAGGGGAGAAAGGGTGGAAGTAGAGAAATTTAGGAGGCTATTGTAATAATCCAGGGGAAAGATTATCAATTGATGAAGAGTTATGGATTCCATATGTATTTTCAATATGGACTTTACTATTGGATTAGATTTGAGCGATGGAGAGAATTCAATGAAGACTCCCAGGTTATTGGCCTTAGGCACTGGATGGTACCATTGACTGCCACAGGGAAGACTGAAGGAACAACAAGTTGTAGGGAAAAAATCAGAGTTCTATTTTGATACATTAATTCGCAATTCCTATTAAACTTAAGGTGAAATTGTTAAATAGGTATTTGGGCATTTCAGACTGATACCCATGGGAGACATCAGGGTTAGAGATAAACTTTGGAGATATTTCATCATACAGATGGTATTTAATGTCATGGGACTGGATGAGCTTCCCTAGGGGAAGGGTGTAGTTGGGGACAGAGCACTAAGGTATCCCAAAATTTAATCATCAAAAATATGAGAGGGGAGATTGGAATGGATACTGGCAGAAACAGCCATTGGTTAAAAGGAGGGCACTGGTGTGGGGCCTCCAAGAAGCCAAAGAAGGGACTGTTTCCAGCCTATGAATAATTAGTAGGGCAATTTAAACAAGAAATGCTCAGCATTAGTTTGAACTCCACTCTTCCTTTTTCTTTAACAGATAGTTCTGCCCCAGAGACGACAAGTATGAATACCACAGACAACGGTGTCAACTGTCTATGTGCTATATGTGGGGACAGAGCGACAGGAAAACACTATGGGGCATCAAGTTGTGACGGGTGCAAGGGCTTCTTCAGACGCAGCATACGCAAGAGTCACGTTTATTCCTGCAGGTACTTCCAATGCTCCTTTTAGGAAAGTTATCTTTAGAGGTGTTTCCAAATGGCATGTAAGAAGCAAGGGAATAAAATTCAAAGCTTTCATATTTCTGAAATTCCAAGCACAAAATGTATAAGCTACATTAGAGTGAGGCTGTGTAGGTGTGTATGTAGCGTGCATTCACACAGGTGATTCTTTGTTATGAAACATTTGAGACTCATAAAATGTATATAAAAAAATCCAGATACTTACCACCCATCTTAGACCAGTATATATAGTTGAAGCCTCTAGTGGACACCTGCCCTGTCACTTACTCTTTCTCCCCTCTCTCCCAGAGGTAACTACGTCTGAAATGTGGTGTTTGTCTTTTCCTTGGATTTCTTTATTGTTTTACCACATGTTCATATACCAATGGACATATCTACATCTGTATTTAGATGGTTTCACAATGTGTGTATTTTTGTGCACAATGATTTTCTTTCACATCCCGAGTTAAAACAAAATTATAAAAGTGCAGATGATTTTGGTAGCTTGTTGATGTTAATGGATGAAATTAAATTTTCAGTCCTAAAATTTTAAATGTATTTCTCATGCCACAGTTTTGACATTGAATTTAATGTTTTGTCTAAAACTTATATATATTCTGTGTGTCAGACATTTCTAGTAGGCTGGTTATTTTTAATAATATCTAGTCAACATGATAGCACAATGTAGGGTTAGATTGTTCACCTTGAGTGTTCGGAATGACAGTTCTTGAATGCAGATTCCACCTATGTTAAATATAGGCTGTTAAAAAATGACTGAGTGTAACAGAAAAATATCTATGTTTGCTCTGTCTCTGAAAGGCATAGGTAGGATTGTTATGGTGTTTTAGGAACACATTGGACGTTTGGGAAGAAGTTAACTCTCTCACAATATGACGCCATTTGATTTCTAGGAGTGTGGAAAAAGTTAATATATAACTCTCCAAATACCTGACTAGAGTTCTCTAGTAATTTTTCTAGGAGAGCTTAAAGTAGGTTAAAAAAATGTAAATCATCCACTTTAAAACCTTCTTGGTAAACAAAAAAAAAGTAAGGGTCTTGCTTTTATATATGTACGTTAAAACTCTAGAGGTAAAAAGTAGATAGAGTAGATTTCCTTCATCAAAAGCATTTTCTGTATGATTACATCAAATGTTGAGTGCTTCTAAAAGATTAATAACTAAAAAAATACAAAATAACATGTAAACAATACTTTTTTGAGTCGTGTGTTCTGTTAAAGGTGAAATACATACATATGAAAAATGGCGAACACACAACTAAATCCAACAACAACTTTTAAGAATCAGATAATGTCAGCAAAAAGGGCCTTGAAGATTTCCATCGTTCCTGTATGGGAAAAGCAGGAAAGGAGTGTTCCCATAGCAACTTTTTTAAATTTAAAGAATATTCCAACAACATGTACGCTTTTACTCCTCCCATCTTCGCATCATGAATACTGCTGCCAACTTAGCCTTCTTTATATATTTTGATATTAAGTAAATACTATGATTTTCCATTTGGAATAGATTATATTGATGCAAGTTTAGGGGCATAAAGGTTTTTTAAGCTCAGGTTTTGCTGGTCTTAAATTTATCCATCTCCTTAGATTTACAAATTTCATTTTCATTCTAATGCTCCATCACACTAAATTTGATACTTTCCCTCCCAATGCACTTTAAATTGCTGTTTCAATACCTCTCACACTGTTTTTTTTATTATGGCTATTCGTAAACTTGTTTGTGTACTCTCTTAGATTGTAGTTTACTTGAATGAAGGAGACAGGTAACATTCCTCTGTTTAATCCCTACACCAGGATCTTGTACACAGTAGGTGCTTAATAATATGTTTTTTGTATTACTTGGATTTTAATTGGATGTGTTTTCCTGTTGTGTTTATTGGTAATCTGGTCCCCTCTCCTGAGTCTCCTCAGCTGTGCATTCCCAAAAGAATAATGCTTTTCTTCTCACTTCTCTCTCTTCTAGCTAAACTCATTTATAGTAGGCTTTATAGTTATTTAATTTTAAGCGGCCACCCATATTTTTTAGAAGAAATATCTTATTTTATAGATCACAAAATATATTCTTTTATTCTCATCATTAATAATCAACTATAAATAACCAGAGATATATCAATACATGTGGGTAATTTTTTGCCAGAATTTTGAAGAAATATTATTCTTTACTATATGATTAATATTTGCTCCAAAGTCTTTAAAGTACACTCACATAACAACCTTTTACAGCAAGTCCTCCCTATTTTACAATTGTAAATTAACTTGGGAATGTTATTTAACATACTGTTAAATAGTAAACGTTGTACATGTACAGGCCGTACATATTAAATAACATCCCCAAGTTCTATAGAGAGTGATTGGTGGACCTGGGAATTAGGCTCAGGTCTAATTCCAGAGACTGTACTCTTTTTTTTAAGTGTATAATTCAGCTTTCCGGTATATTCACAGAGTTGTGCAACCATCACTACAATCGATTTAGAACATTTTCTTCACGCTATCAAGAAACCCCGTACCCTTTGGTCATCACTCCTCATTCCCCCCACCTCCCTCCCAACCAATGTGAGGCAACTACAGATCTACTTTCTGTTGCTATAGACTTGCCTCTTCTGCACATTCGATATAAATAAAATTATACATTATGTGTCCTTCTGTGTCTGACTTCTTTCATTTAGAATAGTGTTTTCAAGGTTCATCCATGTTGTAGCGTGTATCAGTACTTCATTCCTGTTTATTGCCAATCAACAATATTCCATTGTGTGGGTATACCAAATTTTGTCTCTCTGTTTATCAGCTGTCGGGCATTTGGGTTGTCCCCCCTTTTTGGCTATTATGAATAATGTTGCTATGGACATTTGTGTACAAGTGTTTGTGTGAATATCTATTTTCATTTCTCTTGGGTATATACCTTAGAGTGGAATTGCTGAGTCATACAGTAACTCTTGTTTTTCAAAAACTGCCAAAGTTTCTTCCAACCTGCACCATTTTGTATTACAAGCAGCAATGAATGAGGGTTCCAGTTTCTCCACATCCTCATCGACACTTGTTATTGTCTGTTTTTTCTGATTATAGCCATCCTGGTGGGTGTGAAGTGGTAATAAATTGTGCAGACTGTACTCTCAATGCTGTTCTCAACTGTCTCTTGATATGTAATCTGGCATTTAGAGTAAACTTCCATTGGATGTGAGGTAAAATTAATAGAAGAAGATTTAAATAGGGAAAAGCATGGAAGAGGAGGGGAATGATGTTCTGAGATATTCTCCATCACACCAAAATCATTTGGCAATAAGCAATTAGAATTTATATGCCAAAGATTTTTAAACTAGGTTTGGTTTTCATGACTCATGATGGAAATGATCATATATAGTGGCCAAAAGTGATATATCATTCAGTTTTATTTTATTATAGAGACTGCATCAGAGGTGAGGCTTGTGTTTCCATGTACATGCTGATCATGAGACTGGAAAAGTAATACTTAATTGTTCTTATACATTGATCCAAATTGGACCACATTTATCTAAAGTGTATTTGTCTATTTGCTTTTTTTGATCAATAAAATTTTCTGTAAACTAATATATCTTTGTTTGATATTGTAGGTTCAGTCGGCAATGTGTTGTTGACAAAGACAAAAGGAATCAATGTAGATATTGTCGATTGAGAAAGTGTTTCAGAGCAGGAATGAAAAAAGAAGGTAATAATATATAATATAATGATGACAACATCATTGATGAAAAGTTTTATACACATACATTCTCATTTAATCACAATAACCTTTTCACACGACTTCTAATTTTTCTCAATGAAGAATCTACAGTTCATTAAGTTTAAGAATTTACCCCAGAACACTGACACCCAGCTGGTAGGCAGTAGAGCCAATCTTTGGTGATTATCTGATTCCAGACACCGTTCTCTCAACTACTGTGTTATCCCTGGCAACAAAGTTATTGTCTAAATAACATTCCAACATCCTGTTCAAAAGATAACAGCCCCCTGGCACAGCGGTTAAGTTCGTGCTCTGCTTCGGCGGCCTGGGGTTCGCAGGTTTGGATCCCGAGCGCAGACCTATGCACCACTTGTCAAACTATGTTGTGGCGGGTCCCATATAAAGTAGAGGAAGACAGGGGCCAGCCCGGTGCTGCAAGCGTTTAAGTGCACGCACTCCGCTGCGGTGGCCTGGGCTTTGCTGGCTCGGATCCCGGGCGCGCACCGACGCACTGCTTGGCATGCCATGCTGTGGCGGCGTCTCATATAAAGTGGAGGAAGATGGGCACGGATGTTAGCCCAGGGCTAGTCTTCCTCAGCAGAAAACAGGAGGTTTGACAGATGTTAGCACTGGGCTGATCTTCCTCACAAGGAAAAAAATAATAATAAAGTAGAGGAAGATGGGCACGGATGTTAGCCCAGGGCCAATCTTCCTCAGCAAAAAAGAGGAGGATTGGCAACAGATGTTAGCTCAGGGCTAATCTTCCTCAAAAAAAAAAAAAAGGTAAATGGCAAAATTTATTAATAGGTTGAAATTATAAATGTATTTTAAACACTTTTTTTATTCTTTTACCAATTGAATATCTTTATTTCATAAACATTAACTGAACATTGGCTTTTCATGCATTCCTTTACTTATTTAACAAATATTTATGGAGCACTGCTACTTTCCAAACACTGTTCTGGGGTCTGAGGTTTCAGAAGTGAATGTGGTAGACAAAATAATCCCCCTCTCACAGAGCTTATATTCTGTTAAGGGCAGAAACAATAGACTAGATATTCTAGTTTAGTGTGCACTCATTTCATTTTGAACATATTAAATAATCTGCTTATATTATCCTACATTCTAAATATGGTTAATTTAGAAACAAATATGTTGAGCACATTGAAACATTGGCAGGGAACTGCTGCTACAAGACTATGCTTATCAGTTTTGCCGCATGCTTATGCCTCTCATAGACAAAGAGATATTTTTCACAACTATTTCGCAAGCTATAAAAGAATTAAATCAAATCACTACACTACAGAAATGTAAGATATATCAAAGCTATCTTGAACATAGCTAGTTTTTCTTTGTCACTCAATATTTTAAAGAGACGAAAATTCCATTAGTTTCGTTGAAGTTGCTAGTCTCAAAAAAGAAGGCAAAAAATTAAGTTCACAAAATTAAAGGAGAAATACTTTCTTGTTTCCAAATGACTAATTTCTAATGGCATATTTGATAGTTTATGGGATTAATTACATACTTTTTCAATCATTTTCATCCATTTCTACTTGAACCCCAGCTTTTTTCTTACAAAAGTACAAGCAAATCATAAACTCATATTTCCTTTAAGAGTTTTACAATTTGTGAAATAAAATTATTTTCAAAAATAGTGAAATTATATCTTCCACTGTTCATAGAATACTGCAATAATTTTTCCTAAATAGATTAGGAGATAACTTTTAGGTTTCAAAATAGATATATTTCTCTTATTTACAGTGATAGCATAATATCAAGCTTAGTTAGATGAAAACATAGATAAATATGGTTTTATGTCAAAAAGGATAGCAATAAGAAGATTACAAATGTTCATAATGTCTTTTAGCATTTTTCTAAAGATTGATCATGTAAATGAAATTCATAAAAGCATAGCTTACATTTTAATTTTTTATCTCCACATATGCATTTCCATATGAGTCAGTTTAGGCTGAAAATTAATGACGATTTCTGTAAAAAAAAAAAGAGAGAGAGACTAAGCTACCGGTAAGTATGATTTTAAAATAAAATATTAATGATTCACTCCAACTTAAAGACTACTCACTGAAAAGCAAAAATCCAGTATTTTCTCTTCCAAATTAATGAAGCTGATAGTTAACAGTAAGTTTGGAGTAGATAGTAGATTTTGACATAGAAATTGGTGAATCTCTTTAATAAAAGAATAATTGCAGAAAAAAATTCTGATGGTTTAAATATCTTATCTTTCCAGCAGAGCAGGGTAGAGCATTAACCTAAATAATTTATGGGCTACTGGCCATGTTTTCATTCTTTTTGGTTAACAGAAGATAATTTTACCTCAAGTTTTGAAATGCAACTTTGACACCTGACTTATTCTTTATATGACAAATATATAGGTTAATACACCCCCTCTCACTCTTCTTTATAGTTAAAAATGCAGTTTTCAAAAAGGAATTTGGGGATACATATTATTCTTTCTTTCCTTTCTGAAACAAGCAGATCTAGCTCTCTCTTAGAAGCCTTTTATATAATTCTTAAGGTTTCTTCATCTTTCCTAAATACTGATATTCAAACCTCAGTCTTCTTGGGAGAGACCCCCTACTTGCTGCAACTTTATTAACGTCTGTCAACGGTCCCGAGGACATTGTTTCGTAAGAGATCATAAGATTGCAGTCTTAAAATCACCTTAACTAAATAAATTTACTTTCCATTTTTGCTAGTGTTTTAGGAGAAAAAGAATATGGAAGTTTCAAAATTTATGACTCATATCTTATGACAGCGAATACGCTCTTATCTTTGACCTGGTCAACCTCACAGGCCGTACTCTTCCTCTAGTTATCTTATGGTTTTATTAACTCTGAGAGAATGGAAAACCATCCTACTAAAAATACAGCACGGCTGAATTGGCTGACCCAACACTTTCGCACACGCATGCCATCATCAAGTCGTAAAGGCAATATTTTATGAGCTCTGGTGACAAGCCTGGCTCTTTCTACTTTTAAAAGTGGTACAGAATGAAAAATATCTTCAGTCATAGTTCTCCCCCCACCCCCTTTTCAAAGTCTTTTAGAAATATCCCTTCTCATCCTTTATCCTAATTTTTTTTTTTACTTCAAACTGTGTATCCTGACATATATTGAAGACAACCCACCAATAAATACTGTGATTTTCTCCCCTAGCTGTGCAGAATGAACGCGATCGAATAAGTACCAGAAGAAGCACATTTGACGGCAGCAACATCCCCTCCATTAACACACTGGCGCAGGCAGAAGTGCGGTCTCGCCAGGTACTGCTGCTCACCAGCGTCCAGCCCTGTTTAGAGGAATCCAAGGTCTATTTAGGCATAAAGCTAAAATAATCTAAGTTCATTCAAATGTGCTCACTACTAAAATAAATTAAACCTATGCAAATTCAAGAGTTTTAGTTTGAAAATATTAGTTGGACTGTTGACTTAATTTTGACTTTTCGTGGACAAATTTCTATTTTTCAAGTGGAAAAATGAAATGCATTTCAGTCTAAGATTGTTACAATAATTTGTTTACAAGGTTTGTTTAAAATACTTAATGCATAGCGCAATGCTCTGGGGGCACTATCTTGTTTTATTGGTTGAATCTGATTGGTTAGCACAACTTTTGGGGAGTTTGATTGAGACCTATCATCAGAGCTTCCTTCCCTGAAAATGTCTTCTGGACTCAAGAACTCACCTTGGCACCTGCTTTGAAAACAGGTATTTAAGAGAAGAGCCAGAATTTAGAAAACACAGGAGAAAGAGTTTATTACTTTAAATTTCTCAAATGTGAATATCAGTTCTAAAGTTAAAAAATGTAGGTCATTAATTTACACATAAAAATAAATCACTTAAGAATCAAATAAAGAAATCCTTTGAAGAGAGTTTATTTTAGTATTGCCCCGATTAGAAATGTTAATGATATTTTTCTATTATAAAGCAAATTATGAAATAGCTAACTATTAATCAAGTCCTATAATGAGTCAGTGCAACTACTTTCGTTTTTGATAACACAAGGGTAATATGGTGAGGTTAACATCACCATTATCATAATCATTACTTGAAGATTACTTGATGGTTCTATAAAGCATTTAGAAAATGGCTTAAAGGGAGCTGTGAGGAAATACCTATACACGACAGAAAAGCATGTATACACGCACACTTGTTCAAAAATTAAGTCTATGAGAAGTTTTAGGAAGCAATTCTTTTTCAGCAGAAAGGCAGTTTTTCCATATAGTTCAAAGTTATACATAGTTTTAAAAATTTATCATTGTATGTTAAGCTTTTTAGTGTTGCTGAGTCAAAGGTTAGTTTCTTAATTTTATTGTGATGGGCTTCCATTTAATACAGCAACATAAATAGTTCTGGCTTCTCATCCATACCTTTTCTCCCCAGTTTGGTAAACTTTATCCATTGGAAACATTTTCTTCATAAAGTTCAACAAATTAAAGATGGGTTTTCTTAATGGAAATATCATTTTCTAATTAAAAATAAAATCATAGAGCACATTTCATATAGATACTCCATATTTTGTTGTCTAGTCATTTGAATTATGAAACTCCCTGAAAGTTGTAGTAACATTTTACAGATTTGGCCAGTAAAATGCAGTGAATGCTTTCAAGTTAACTTGTACTGATAGGTATTTTATTTCTCAATTTAAAAATGGTTAGAATATTTCAAGATACTGTGACAAAGATAGTGCCCGCTTCCATGGCATTTACTCATGGCAGTCATAGGAAAAAGAGGAATACTGGTCATGTATGATTTTCAATAATAAATTAATATAATGTTCTTCTTAATGCCAGATCTCGGTCTCAAGCCCAGGAGCAAGCACTGACATAAATGTTAAGAAAATTGCAAGTATTGGTGATGTCTGTGAATCTATGAAACAGCAGCTCTTAGTCTTGGTGGAATGGGCTAAATATATCCCTGCCTTCTGTGAGTTACCCCTGGATGATCAGGTATAGCTTAAAGACATTATGATTGCTTTAAAAAATGTTTTTTGAACTTTGCTAAGTTTTTGTGTTCTTTTAATTATATTTATATAGAATTACTATATTTGACAAAGGTTAAATTACCTAACCGATGGAAAAAGATTGGTTTTATTGTCCATTCACTTTCGTGTTCTATCAAGAGGCAGACTGTTTAACTTCTATTTTTGGGGTCTTGCAAATTTATTGATTGGTGAGAGTTGAACAAGACCCTGTTCTTCCCTCTTGGAGTTCAAAAAGCTTAAGTAAGGGAGAAAGACAGATAGCAAGTAACTGCCATTGTGAGACAAAGTGTTGGAAGAGTGAATGTCTGGGAGGCAAATGGTAGATTATTGTGTCTTGGTGTTTACTGAAGGTGCCGTATAAAATCCCTCAGAAATACCAGGCCATTCCTAGATAGGCTGTGTTGGTGTCTTTGTGGGCACTTGATTCAATTAACGTATAAAATCTTGCCTTTCATGTTGTCAATTTTCTTCTAGCATTTATTGTATAAAAATTATAGGTCTAGCAAAAAAGTCTGTAAAATCATGCTCTGAAATCTACAGAGAAATAGAGAGAATTCAGATATAATGATCTTTTCCTAATACATATATTTTCATACTGTGTCATATACACATTAAGACATTTTAATTAATATTTAAGAACTTTAATTTCCTAATTAGTTTATGAAGATTAGATTATTAGTTTCAGATTTATTTTGAACTCTTCCATCTAAGTAGCATATAATATTTTGTAGATGCAAATAATTCAAAAATTTCCAATTCCCCCACACTGAATAAGTCATGATATGTCATATGACCAGTGTATATTTTTACACCCTCTGACCATCGCTGTTTATCACTGACACAAAAAAACAAAGAAACAATCAAAGTGAAAGGTGCATGATTGTTTAAAAATCAAAGAAGGGAAAAATATTTACATGACCAGGAAAAAAAGGGATCGTGGGAAGTTAGCTGTTATACTTCTAGGAGAGCATTTCACCTGTTGACAAAAAAAAAAAAATACCGTGAAATCTGAAATCATTCTTAAAATGTTCTGTAACTGCCTTCCTGGTATGAGTCATGGTTATTGACATATCATAAAGATAGCTTGGCTCAGAAGGTTATTTCAGAGTGAATAATGCTAAATTGCTAAAACCTACTTGTCTCACCCCAAGCCATATAAGGAGGGTTATGTTATTTATCAGTTTTATATTTTTATTATCACTCCTCTTTAAAAATTGCTGACTTATGTATGATGATAATGATTTAAAAACTGGGAAATTGAAATCTGGTAACCTGTCAAAAATAGCTTTTATTTACTAACTGACACTGTAATATTAATAATATTACATTAATAGCCATGGATTGGTGAATGTCTATTACAGGTAGGGCACTGGGGAATCAGTTACATTATAATTTACATTATTTTATTTAATGCTCTCAGGAATTCTGGGGTGTAAGTTTTATAATCTCCACTTAACATTTTTTAAAACTGAAGCCTAGATCAGTTAAATTCACTCAGTGAATTCATCAAACAGATATTAATAGCACTACTGTCCAGTTTTAGGAATGGTGAGTATTTGGCAGTAAAAATGCAGATTGCATCACTATTCTCCTAAAGATTACATTCCATTTGGGAAAGACCAATAATAAAAAATATACAGATTATGACTAAGTTACTTCTAGGTGGGGATATGTTCTATAAAATGAAATGGGGTGAGTTGTTGGAGAATGACTGGGAGTGGAGAAGTAAGAGATACTTTTAATTGGGGATCAGAGAAGATTTATCTTGACACCAGAATGACAAGGGACCAAGCATGTCAGGATCTAAAGAGAAAGTATTCCGTGTACCAGAACAGCATGTTCAAAGGCTCTGAGGCAAGCAGGAATAATGTGCCTCGGGATGTTGCAAGAGGAAACCAGAGATGTGGGTGGGGGGCAAAGCATTAGGCCATCACCTTTGATGCCGTGGTTAAGGAATCTGGATTTTATTCTAAAAACTGTAATAACCCAATGAAGAGTTTTCAGCAGAGGAGTGATATTAAGTGATTGTTATTTTACAAATACCATCTTGGAAGCTCTGTCAAGAAGGATTTAGGAGGGAGGAAACAGAAAGGAAACAGGAATACCTATGAGCTCTTTGGAGTGTATTGTGGTAGGCCAGGTGAGAATGACAAAGCGTAGGCTGGGGTGGTAGCAATGGAGAAGGAGCACTAGAATTTTCTGTACAATTAAAGAGAAATCAAAATGGGCTCTCGTTTTTGACAAGCATTTTGATGATGGTGTCATTTACTAAGATGATGAAGATGTTGGAGAAGCATTACTTGAATATGTTAAATTTGCAATGCTCCTCTTCTTCCTAGTTGTGATGTTCAGCAGGCAATTGAGTATATGGATGAAGCTCCGTTGAGAGCTTAGTGCAGAGTTAGAGGATCAGTCTAGAAAATGGCAGCAGCCATCCTCTTTTCGCTATATCACAAGTCCTTGCTTTGTTTTTTTTCAATTCAGTTTATTATGTGTAAGAGATTGTGTTGTACGTATATTCTCTCTTTTAGTCCTCATGACTACACTTTGAGATTTTTATCACTATCTCCATTTGATAGATGAAAACAACGGTGTCCCAAATATACTGGTTAACTTACCCAACGGTAAACAGGTAGTAAGTTGCCAAGCCAGAATTTGAACTCTGGTTTGTTTGATTCTATTTCACTCCCAAACACTTAGCTGTTCTGCTTTTTTGGCTGCCATTGTATTGACTTATTAGTTTTAAAAATTTTTTAAAGTAAAAGTATATTGACACGCTAAAATGGAAAAATACAGGACTTAATGATGACAAGAATCTATGAGTATTATAGACTGTTAAAACAAAAAAAAAAACAAATGTCCCAGGCTTAAAGAACACCAAGCTAATCAGACTCATATTATACCATCTGTGAATCACTATATTTTATAATTAATTGTTAAACTTGGAATTTTTCATTAAGGTGGCACTGTTGAGAGCTCACGCAGGGGAACATTTACTGCTTGGAGCTACAAAGAGATCCATGATGTATAAAGATATTTTGCTTTTGGGTAAGTTTTTTTTTTTTAATTTCAGAAGAAATTATGCATGCTTCATCCTTACACAGGATCTATCCAGGCATACACTGACACTGTCAAATGGCGTTCTCACTTCACAAATCGGATTTAATTGACGTATCCTCACTCAGGCCCTATTTTTCCTTGACTTGATTGCAGGGAAGTTCAGAGTGCGTTGAGATGTTCACGGTGCATAAAGATTTAAAAATAAGAATTGGAGGAAGGTGGTCAAAAGGTATAAACCTCCAGTTATAAGATAAATAGGTACTAGGGATGTAACGTACAACATGATACTGTAGTTAACACTGCTGCACGATATATAGGAAAGTTGGTAACAGAGTAGATTCTGAGTCCTCATCACAAGGAGAAATTTTTTTTCTTTTCTTTTTATCATATCTATATGAGATGATGGGTGTTAACTAAACATATTGTGTTAATCATTTCACAATATAGGTAAATCAAACCATCATGCTGTGTACTTTAAACTTATACAGTGATATATGTCAATTATTTCCCAATAAAACTGGAAAAAATATTTAAAAATAAAAGAGAAATGTTGCTCAATAAACATAATATTGAGGTATGTTTAAATCATATCAGGACAAAGAATTAGTGATTTGTGTGACCATATTGTGGAGTCCCAGTGTTGTTCCACACTCTCTCAGTGTCTACTTAATAATTGTAATATATATATTATTTTATACACTTTCAAGGAACACGTGTATCTCCATGATCTCATTGCCTATAATATGCTACAAAATCCCAAATTATAGAAAAAAGTTTGGTGACAATACCTAAAAATTAGATAGTTACATAGCAGTGCTGGAAGAGGCAAAAACAGGGTGACAAGTGGAACAGAGGTTGGGGGGAGATAAGATACAAAGGAAAAGCTTTTGTCTCCATTACGTAATTGCTTCAATCCCCCTATTTTACTTACCTTACAAAATTAGGTTTCCTGTTTAGAGAGTAAAGATTCTTCTAAAGCTTCTTAGCTTCACCTCTCTCTGGCTGCATGAAATGATGACCAGATTGTTTATTGTTGTGATAGATATTTTGTCCCCAAATATGAATCAATTGAACATAATATAACAATAGCTGATGTTTATTGAGGACTTATTGTGTAGGATGCATTGTGCTAAGTGCTTTACATATATATACATACTACCTCATTTAATCCTCACAATAACCCTGAGAGATAGGTACTGTTATTTTCAGCCCTTTTTGCAGGTGAAGAAATGGAAGCAGAGAAAGTTTACCTAAGGTCACAAAGCTAGTAAGGAGTAGAGCCAGGATTCTAAACCATGTAATGTGACTGCAGAGACCATGCTCTTAGATTCTACTAAACACTCTCTTATATTGATAAGACCCCTATAATACTGTTCTCATTATAGATCTGAATACAATATACATAAAAAACAAAATGATTTGCTACATAATTCTAATTTGTTTTACCATGAATAATTAGGTAAACTAACTTTTCATAAGAAGAGCAAGGCTACATTTTTTGAGTACTTTTACCCATGTTGTTACACTGAAGATTTTCTTTGCCTACAGTGAAAGAATTCAGAATATTCTGCTTTTCATAAAACCAGGAAATAACAATTTAGCTGTATTTTTAAAAGCTATAAAAGGTTTCTAATTTTCTAATATTTTAGAAGCTATAATACGTATTCATCATCTTATAGCCAAAGATTTTCTAAGTCAAAGCAGTCTTTAGGAATTAGGTGGTCCAGTCTCTATCCAATCTCTGAACTCCCTTGAATTCATCTACTTGGGCTTGTTAAAATTGTCTCAATAGTTGTCACACTTACATAGACCCAGACCACTAAAGGAGTGCTGTTTTGAATCCACTATAAGCAAGAAAGTTTCTTTAGATTTTGTATTGTGCTCATTCATGAGTAAGACACTAATAAATAACTGACATAGCGGAAAGCTAATCCTTACATTTTATTTCTCCCTTGTCAATTATTAGCTTGTTATTAGTCTGAACTTTAGCGTTATCTCTAGTGTCTGAGGCTGTTAAAACGCATGTGATCATCATGCGTTGTTGTATCAATGTTGTTGATCCTTTAAGCGTTCTCAAGTTTTTCTAACATAACTAACACTACTGAAAGAGGAAGTACTGTTATTCCCTCAAGGGAAGACCATTTAAAACATTGGTGTGTAAAAACTTAAATAATATCTGACGAGGTGTTTTGAGGGGTGATTGTTTTTTTTCCCCTAGGAAACAACTACGTTATTCACCGCAACAGCTGTGAAGTCGAGATCAGCCGTGTGGCCAATCGAGTTCTAGATGAGTTGGTCCGACCATTTCAAGAAATTCAGATTGATGACAATGAATACGCTTGTTTGAAGGCAATTGTATTTTTTGATCCAGGTTGGTTTTCAAAGTTCCATTAAAAAATAATCATAATGACTTTTTAATATTAGACTAGTTACTCTCACACTCTAGTAAGATTCAATCTTTAAATTCTCCTTTCTATTCCTTTATTAGATGCAAAAGGGCTGAGTGATCCAGTGAAGATTAAGAACATGCGGTTCCAAGTGCAGCTCAGTTTGGAGGACTACATCAACGATCGGCAGTATGACTCTCGGGGGAGGTTTGGAGAGTTGCTTCTGCTCCTGCCCACACTGCAGAGCATCACTTGGCAAATGATTGAGCAAATCCAATTCGTTAAACTTTTTGGGATGGTTAAAATTGACAATCTGCTTCAGGAAATGTTACTGGGTGGTGAGTACATTTGAGAATTTCTATTTTATTTATTAGCAACACACTGTTTACTTTAGGATACCTATTTATCTTTTATCCATGAGATATTGAACTCAATTTTTTACATTTAGGAAGCCTGCAAAACCCATTGGATGGGGACAAAAATACTTGAAACATATTCATATCCCCATTCTTACTAGCCTTCACCATCTAGGCTCCACAAGGTTCCTCTTACCTCAATTTTCAGATCCTTCAAATATGGTAAATAGACATATATTTCCTATTTTTAATACTCCTTGAAATATATTACATTTTTCTATGCCTTAACTCCTTTAAAAGCTCAAGGATACCAGAATTGTGCATAATCTAAAAATATATATAGCAAATATCTTAAAAATGAACACTTTGCTCCTGAAATAATTAACTGACACAACACAATGAGAAGGGGAAAATAAAATTTCATTACTGCAATAAATGTCAGGAATAAGTCACAAAAGCATTTATTTTATGTTCTGATCTAGATTAAATTTCCTTATAAAATCACTTTATTTTATTTTAGTTTAGTTTTAGTTTTCTGGTGCTTAATGTGTTCCTAATGGTATCTTTCTGAAATAAAAGTTGTTTATGCTATTAGGGTGATCCGAAATACTATAAACTTGAGGTAAGCGGTTCTTGGAATTGCCTTGACAACAGGCAGCAAACCTAATGATTCCAGGAAACGGCACACAAGGTCCATTATTAATATACAACATAATATGATACAACATTAATCTAGCCAGTGTACAGTGAAAGCTGACATAGTCCTTAATATGGCAGTGGTTCTATTAATTTATTTTTGAGTTTCCAAAAAGCACTTTGCAAAAATAGCAATATTCAAGCTGTCCATCAAAACATTTGTTCCAAGGTAAACTTGCTGTTCCTAATTAAATATCACTAACGCAAGCGTCTTTTTATCTTCTGTAGGTGCTTCCAATGACGCTAGCCATCTCCATCATCCAATGCATCCACATTTGTCTCAAGATCCATTAACTGGACAAACTATACTTTTGGGTCCCATGTCAACACTGGTTCATACAGACCAGATCTGTAAGTATCTGGGCTACTTTTCAACCATAATATGTCTTAAACTTAATTACCTGGGAAAAATTGGAATTTGAGGAAAGAATCTATAAGTACCCAGAAACTGCAAAAATTGGGTACAATTTCCTCTCTAGGACTCAACTATGGGATACTGTGATATTCAGTAAGTCACTTATTCTCCTTAGGCATGATTTTGCTCCCTAAAATGAAGGTGAGTGCCCAAATCTTTCTACTTCATAGGTTTGGGAGCACAAAAGAATGTACTTCCAGAATGCAAACTGGAACCGTGCAAAGAAATCTTCACAGACGGTGGGAAAATGATGGTTGCTTGTGATCTTTAAAAACGTTTGCCATGTAATATTATATGTCTGTTATACCTCAAGAAAAAACAAGCCAACAGGGGCTGGCCTGGTGGCGTAGTGGTTAAGTTCGCACACTCTGCTTCAGTGGCCCAGGGTTGGCAGGTTCCAATCCTGGGTGCGGACCTATGCACTGCTCATCAAGCCATGCTGTGGTGGCGACCCACATACAAAATAGAGGAAGATGAGCACAGACGTTAGCTCAGGGCCAGTCTTCCTCACCAAAAAAAAAGCAAACAAAACAAACAAAATTGTTTGTCAAAACATTAAGAACTCTCTTAATTATGGGTTATAAATGTATAGGTAAATTGAAACGATAATAATCCTAACATTTATCTAGTACACTGTAATTTAAAACATTAGAAACACTGAAAATTAAAGTGCTTTATTTCTTTGTAAAACAACTTCAGAAGAGTAGTTTGAACCATGCTTGCCACCTTCTACAGCTTACAAGAGGAGATGAGCATCTTTTCCATGCCTTGATAGATTTTACACTTTGGAAGTTTGGATTCGCTTCCAACATTTTATCCTTTGCACTTTCAATGTCCTGAAATATCTCAGAGAATCCATTTAACGTAAAGTTTTTTACCATTGTCACTTCCTCTGGGCCATCTTTGTCCTTTCCATACAACCAGGTTCCTCATTTATGCTGACGGTATTCCTTCGCTAGGTTCCTGGCTGCATGTTTAGAGACTCACAAGGCAGTAGTGTCAACATTCCCGTGGTCAGCTGTTTCTTCTGTAACTCCACTTATGTTGGATTTGAATTTCACTTCCAGCATTACCACTTTTTGTTTCTTTGCTGCACTTTCATCGTTTTTAGCCAATTCTTTTTCTTTCTTTCTTTCTTTTTGTTTTTTTTTTTTGTGAGGAAGATCAGCCCTGAGCTAACATCCGTGCTAATCCTCCTCTTCTTGCTGAGGAAGACCGGCTCTGAGCTAACATCTATTGCCAATCCTCCTCCTTTTCTCCCCCAAAGCCCCAGTAGATAGTTGTATGTCATAGTTGCACATCCTTCTAGTTGCTGTATGTGAGACGCTGCCACAGCATGGCAGGACAAGTGGTGCGTCGGTGTGCACCCAGGATCCGAACCCGGGCCGCCAGTAGCGGAGCGCACGCACTTAACTACTAAGCCACGGGGCCCGCCCCAGCCAATTCTTTTTCAATTGTTCATTTTTGAAAAATGTCGTTTGGATTTATTGCTGGGAGACAAGGAGACAACACAGCCACACACTTTGTTGTCAGTATGTGAATTGAGTAAAATATGTTCAGTGACCTATCACAGACAGACTGAAAGATGTGATGTGATTGGTCGCTGATCACAACACACATCTGTTATTTAGATACTTATGTGTACGCCGAGGAGTTAGCAGTGAAGTTAGTATTTATGCAGTTACAATTAACTGTGAGTTTCCACTGTTAACTGAAATTTGAAACACGTTTTTGCAGAACTGGTGCTATTTAACTGTGATAACTGAAATTCATGCATATCAGAATTGTGCAGAGTGACGGCTACTTGGAAACACTCTTTGAAACTAAAATCATTATATAAATACTAGAGGTTGTTAGTAGCTAAGTTAATCTGAAATGATTGCATATTTAACACAAATTCTATTTATATAAGCTCTCCTGGAGATAAAAATCTCTATTTGACAAAATATCTAGAGTTATTGCTTCTGAATTTATACTAATTAATCCCAGATTTACCTTTGATCTATAGCCTCTGAACACTAAACCAGCTACCTCACTGAGATACCTTGAGTTATTGTGATGTAATTATTATGCATACCTGTATTACCTGCCGAATTTACGATCGCCCTTAGTAGCTAGTTACAATGTTGTTTCACCCAAATGTTCCATGTAATGTAACAATTTAGTGAGTACCACCTGACTACTACATACATAGTGGTAAGGAAAGTAGAGGTCACAGAAGTCCATGCTCTCATGGCTATCTTTTAGATACAAGCATTGGTGGACCTACGTGTATATTGTGTCTGAAACACAAAGTTCTTTGAGTATATGACAGAGGCAGAAATGAGATTGTTAGGAAAAAAGTACAAATTATGGAAATAGTATGTCACATTTAGTCTATGGGTCCCAACGTACTTAGAAGACATTAATTTGGGACAATCTTTGCAAAGCAGATGTTACCATTTTTATTTAATAAATAGTTAAGAGCAGAGAGAGGCAAGCCCAATACCATACCAAAAGACCGAAAGTTTGGTGTCTCTTAGAGATTAGTTATTCATAAACTTGGAAGATAAAACACATTAACAACACATTAAGCACTGTAGGCATCAGCTGGCAAGAAAGTTTAACAATTCTGCTGGTGGTTGAATCCTTTACTTTTTAATTGCTAGTTTTCTAGTGTTTTCAAAGTGTATTTGCTGACCTTAATCTTTTTAGAATCACATCATCACACTTTTCATTTTTATTGTTCCTCTTTCAACGTAATATTTATGAGAATTATTTGTAAAGGAAAACTTTGCTCTGCTTGTGCTCATTCAGAATAATTTATATTTTATCAAAAGCAAAACATAAAACACATACAGTTCTTGCATATTTTCTTGGTCTTGTAGAGCGCTGCAGTTTCACATTCATCTGAAATATCCAGAAATAATATTTTAAAACAAATTTGTGTATTCCTTTGTCAATTAAATTGTATCTAAAAATATTGTTTCTAAGTAGTTGCTAATTCATACTTAATAATGTAAAGTTAGTTTATTAAAGAAAACTAGGCAAAAAGAGACTCTTCTCATTTTTGTATAAATTTTTTTGTGTGAAGAATTTTTCCAGATTTTTTTTCTAGAATATAAAAATAACTGTTTCAGGAAAAAAAATCAATAAAGTTTGTAAGGCCTCAGTCTGATCATCAGATGTTTTCTATTTGTTCTGTTAAATATATTGAAAAATAATAAATGTAACTACTAAAATATTTCAAGTTTTTTAAAAATTCTAGAATAGCGCCTAGATTATTTTATAATATGGTAAAAATTTGGAATAGGAGGAAATACCATTCTAGACAATAAAGTATTTAAACTATAACTTTTTTTCCCAGTTACTCAGGCTTGCCCTTTGCATTGATGGGGAAGGGACAGATAAGCTCAAGTGTAGCAGAATAATTTTGAAGCAACAAAACCAGTATTTTTCAGATGCTTTTAACTACAACATAGATTTCAAAGCACTTGAAAAGTATCTTACCTTAATTTACATGTCATCAAATATGTTTGAGTTGGTGGAATCCAAACCAAATATGTTTTATTTTATGCGAATTTTTGATTGCAAAAATTAAAACATTTGTTTTCTAAGATTTGGGAAAAAACTAGCATTCTGTTAATTCTTTTCATTAACTTTTTTCCTGCTGGGTGTGTGAGAGAATCAAATGTTCATAAAAGCTTTAACAAACGCAGAAAACACTTTAAAAGGACTCAAGGGGCCGGCCCGGTGGTGTAGCGGTTAAGTTCGCACGCTCTGCTTCGGCGGCCCGGGGTTCACAGGTTGGGATCCCAGGCGCGGACTGAGGCACCACTTGTCAAGCCATGCTGTGGCGGCGTCGCATACAAAGTAGAGGAAGATGGGCACAGATGTTAGCCCAGGGCCAATCTTCCTGAGCAAAAAGAGGAAGATTTGCAACAGATGTTAGCTCATTGCTAATCTTCCTCAAAAATAAGACTCAGGATTTTTAAGCATGATCTATTCCAGTTTAACTCTATTTGAAGAGGTCGGGTGGGAGTGCATTTCCAATAGTATGTCAATGAGCTGCTAATGTATTGTATAAATCACTACTTTTTATATGATCTTTCAGAAACATACCCCAAATAAAATAACGCATCTTAGTGTCATGCAGGACTTAATGGGATGACTGTCATCATCACATACAATTCTCTGATTCTTTTTTAGCAACTCCTGAAACCCCACTCCCTTCCCCACCACAAGGCTCTGGACAAGAATCGTACAAAATAGCAGCAAACCAAGCTTCAGTCATTTCACACCAGCCTCTCTCCAAACAAAAGCAATTGTGAGAATATGTTTACTTCTGAACGGCACTGCGCGAATGTGCAACGTTGATCTTGAAATATCTCAGGATAGTACTTTTGGCAAACTCTCAGCCAAGGAGTCGTCATGGTGCTGTTTTAAGATGGTATCCTGTTTTCTTGTTTATATGCTCATTTTGTTTGTTGTTGCTGTTGTTTAAAACCTTTAGATGCAACCAATGTATATCTGAATTCTGATATGTTTATAGAGTATATTTTTTCCAACTTCCCTTGCACTGTACCTGAACCAGTTGAATCCTATGTACTACTTCATTTGCTGTCTTAATTTAAATCTGTAAATAATTGCTTTATTGTGATGTGATGCAGAACTTTTTGACTTTTTTGACTGAGAACTGATCAGAAATCCCAGATTAATATAAAATGAACCAAGTTTTTTATAAATTTTTAACTTGCAAATTAGAAAAATAAAGCAATTGCTGTAGAACAGGGTGTGTTTCTTGAAGTACAATCACTCATGTATGTCTTTTTCCAAAAAGCATCTCTTTGGCCCATAGTTGAATATGCCTATCTTAAGTTTAGAAAATTATCAATAGCCATTCCAAGGATGACTGGATATTCCCTGAAATCTGCCTGTATTTGAAGCTGTATGTTAAGATAAAATATGTTAGTTTTATCAGATAGGATACAGGCTAAACTATAAAAAAGAAACCTTTAAAACAGTGGGTCAACCAAGACAGACATTTATTTCTCTCTCCTGGAACAATCTAGAAGTAGTCATCCTTTCACTAGAACTTAGCACATGCCCACATCTAGTTCCCAGGGAGGCTGGAAGACTGATCTTTAGGTGGAAAGCCTTGTGCCAACTAAAACTGTAGTTTAGTTGGGAGACTGATATTGGGAGATGAATTAGCCATCTATTACACACATGTTGCCCTCGTTTAATCCTCACAGCAACCCTGTAAGAAAGGTATTATAATCTTTCTTTTATAAATAAAGAAAATTTTAGCTTAGAGGGTTTCAGTAATGTAACCAAAGTTTTAAAGAGTAGGAGAGTCACATTTAAGCCCAGGACTGGTTGAGTTTAATGATTGGTATCGAATGGAAAATGTGAGCTCCTTACTGTGGTTTTTAAATATATGCAATTGAGTGATGATTGACTATTATCCGTTGTGATACCTGTAACATATTTACATGTAAGCAATGAGTGTAAATTTGTTGCAGCATGAATAAGAAACCACTTTTGTCCTTTTAATGAGTCTTCCCCTAAAAAAAGCTCTAAACAAACCAAAGAAAACAAAAGCTGGTATACCAGATAGGTTATGATGAAAACAGAAACAAATTTAAATCACTGACTCAGCGGATTTTCAAAAATCCAGTGGACTGAGGAGTATAATTCATTGGAGCCCATACTATTTGATGTCATCTAAAGCTGGAGCTTATTTAAAAACAATTAATGATGGGCCACCTCAAGAAACAGTGATCCTCTCTTTCTCTTTCTCTCTCACACACGCGCGCGCACACACACACACTCTCTTTATTTGCTGTAGCAGGGAAAACTGTGAGTAATTATTAATAATACAAAACAGAGTGTCCCAAGCTGTAAGAGACTGAATTAAAATGATTTTTACAGAACCTTTCAAAATTTCTAAGATTATGGTTTCATTACCCCCACTTACCCTACAAATAAAACGGTTCTGTTAATGTTAATTTATTAATTCTTAAAGTAGAAAAATGAATTACCTAGAAGCTAGCATTGACTGAGAATCAATAAAATTCCTTCAAGAGTTGGTACCTGGAAACTGTAAAATATATTTTTGAGAGAGAGAGAGTGAAACAACAAGAAAATTTTTTTAACTCTTATTTTTTGAAAATTTATTCTGGTGTCTCTATTTCATGAATAAGAATGTTTTTGATTTTTATAAATACAAATATCTTTTGCAGGTTTCTGTTTAACTTTTTGTGTTGTTCTCTTAGAAGATATTTAAAAAAACCTTTAAAATATGAAACATATAATTCATTTTTAGTGAACCCTCTAACTTATCTGCACATTTACTGAACAGCCATGTTTTAGAAATTACTGCTAACGATTTTGTTTTAATAACTATGGTCAGGGAATTTGTAATATAATATTTTTGTATACCTAACTGCCAAAAATGCTGAATGAAGAGGAACTGAAGTTTTCAGCATATTTTCAAAATATCGATAAAGAATGTTATTGCTTTTATATAGCAGAAAACTTTTTTCAGGTAATAAAAATGAATAATTTATTGTGAAATAATGATTCATTTTATAAATGTAAAATTATTTTTATAAATTTCATTGTTGAAAATCAATACTTACTAGATTTTTTGAAATGTTAAATTATAGTGAGATTAAAATATTTCTAAACTGTGATACCACATTGTTTCACTGAACTTTCTAAATAAAAATTGAGAAAAAAAAACCTCAAATGGGGTGCTTCATTATTGTTCAAAAATGATTTTATAATTTTAGAGCTACTGATAATATCTTTTATATGGTCATTTAATTAAATTTACATAGAGTTCACTAATACTGGTCTTTAGAAACCAGAGCAAAAATAATTAGCACATCTCCCAATAATCATAGAATTGGACACTAAAGGGAGAATTCTCACATTTGCACTTTATGTGGTTTTGCTTGAAAGTTTTGTCATGGTAACTAAATCATATGACCTAGGCTAGCTTAAACATTGTACACATATACTTTGGCACATAAAGTTTTAGCCTACGTGTTTTAATTGCTGTTATCCTCCATTCGTATTTAAAGCTTCTTTGTAAAATTTCTTAAATTATGAAGACCAGTAAATTTTACTTTTATAGAATTCTACTAAATTTTATTTTATTTTTACTCTTATCAGGATAATATGTGTACATCATCTAAAAATACAAATTATACCTAAGGTTTATAGAGAACATTTACGGTCCTCCATCCCACCACATCCCCCTTCCCCACATTCTGCTCTTCGGTAACAACACTCAAAACTTGCAGCTGCTTTATCTGATATTTTTCTCCATAGTTTGAAAGCATCTGTTTGTATCACATTTTTCCAATATTTTTTTGTTAGACCTTATCTGTGTACAAACACTCAATCTCCCGCCACATTCTCCCAATTTCTTAATAAATCAATATTTTAATGTACTTAGTAGTTCCTATTTAACTAATTGCACACCATCTTTTAAAATATAAAACTGGTAATTTTTACATGTCTGTGGATAGTAGAAGAAATGTACTCTAATCTTAGAGAGAAAGTGAGAGGAGCAAGAAAAGTCGTTGCTCCAGGTCAGAGGAGGAATATGACTTAGAATAAAGAAAACACGTTGAATATATTAATCATAAGGTTTATTGTAACCCCAAGCTGGAGTGCAATTTGACGTCCATTTCAACATGGCTATTTGAGCTGATGCTTTTAACTTACGTTCCTTCCTTCCTTCCTTCCAAAACCTCACTGAACTGCCCAGAGAAAGGCTGTTAAAAAATAAGAAAAATCTATACAGATACTGAAACTTTAAACTTTTTTCTGCCAAATATGGAGCAGATGACATCAGAGTAAAGGAAATGCAGACTAGTCTATGATTAAGCGCCGGCATAATGGTGCTGCTGGGAAAGTAATATGAAATTCTGCAAATAGAGTCCCGAAAACCTTCAGTGCTGTCAGACTGGAGGCTAAGACCAAGGGAAGGGCACGCGGAAGTCAATGAAGGTCAAATCAAAGGACAGAAGGGGCTACAGCAGTGACCCAGTGGAGAGGGCTCTAGTGAGATGCACTTGATTTCCCGGGAGGCAGACAGGAGGATCACTGAAGGAGGGTCAAGGGCCACAGCAATGTCCAAATTAGAAGAGCTATATTCAGTTACAGAAGGGATAGAGAGATCTTAACTTCAGAATACTATAACAATTGTGTGGAAAAAAGGACCCAACTCAAGAGTGAACTTCCTCCTATGCTGTGTCCTCCCCCCGAGAGTCTTCCTTACTGGCCACAAATAATTGGAGTTGTGAAATGACATGGGCATATATAAGTTGAAGGCAGTGCCTTGGGTGGCAAGGATGCAGTTGAATAGATGAATGACAAAGACAACTGTATTTACCTACCCAGACATGGAAACTCTACAAATAAGAAATTATTTGTACAAATTAGTTAACTTCCCTGACATGACCACTTTTCAAAATTAGCGAGCACTGTATTTCTTATAGCCGGTTTGATCCCTTATTTGGAAAAATAGTTCCTTAGAAAATACAAAGTTAGAGGGGAGCCAGGGGCAGGCATAAGGGATGAAGAAATTGAATACTAAAACTCGAATTGTACACAGGTTGCAAATAACAGGGTCCAATTATCTAAAACTATTTCTTCTTGATACGTCACAAAAGAAATGCAATTTAAAAAATAATTCACAACCATTAATAGAACAGAAATAGGATTCATAAAATACAAAATTCTAAAAAATCAGAATAAGGAAAATTGAGTAGTCTAGTGAAAAAGCAGTTTTTAAAAAAGAAAAGATCAAGGAAGCATAAACAACTAAAAAATAATGAGAGACACATGCTAAACTGAAATATCTCATTAAGTTTTACAGGTTAAAAAAAATCACCTGGTATGCTATAATTATTTTTAGATTAGATCAAAACACAAATTCACCTGTTTTTATTACAGTACATAATTCTTCACAAAGTGATCCAGTAAGAGGCATTTCTGCATTATCCACTATATAGATATCAAACCCCTATAATATGCCACAAATTCATAGGCCCTGGAGCTCTCAAGTTTCTAATGGAATTGCGAGGAGAGAAAAACATTAAGCCATAGCTATACAAATAACTACAAATAACCAGTCATTGTTTTGTAGCCTAATAGCAGAGCGTTAGGAGAGAGTTTACCAGATGATCAGGAAAAAGTTCTCAGAAACACTGAAGGAAGACTGTGGCTAAACCTCAGTGAGCAAGAAGGTTATGGTCGAAAGTGAGGTGCACAGGGAGACACAGGGCAGGTGACACTGTTGCTAATGGACATGCTAAGCATTTTAGATTTTCGTTTAACTATATCCTGATCCATCGAAGAGTTTTAAGTTGGGTGGGACATGATCTGATCTGACTTTTTGAAATAGATCACCCTGCTAAATGGAAAATGAGTCCAGTTGGAGCAGAAGCATCATCATTGAAAGAAAGAGAAAAGAGACGTCTGTATTTTGGTTTAGGAAGAGAGTGCCAAAATTGATTGTATACATATATATGACTATTTTGGAAGTGGACACAATAAGACCGTCTTCTGAATCGTAAGGTGAGACGCCAACAACTCCCAGAAGAAGAAAATGGGAATGGATTGGCTTAGCAAGACTGGCCATACCCATCCCTTTGGGGCTTTGTGAGTAACTAACTGTGTCTGCCCCAAGAGTGGTCATAGTTCTGATTGCAAGGGATCCTGCATCTGTGGTGTGTGTGGTCCCATTACATCGCCTTGCTACTAGTGCAGCAAGACCACACTAGGGGGGAAAAAGTAAGAAATTAACCCAGGAACACAAATGTGAGGTCAACCTGCTATAGTTCAAGCAATGCTTGCAATAGATTAGGAATTATTAATTCCTGGAGGGTCTGATGTGGTTGTGAGCATGACCTGGCAGAACTGCTCCCTAGAAAGGGAGAGGAACATTACCGCCAACCCGTGAGGAATCAGGTTGACCAGAGAAGCTTTGGCCATCAAGCATCCCCAGACAATATCTCCCATTCTCTCACAATGCGTCCTCGCGGCCTATTCCAATACACTGTAACTTCTTGTCAAAAGACTCATTTCCACCATGCCTCCAACTTTGTCCTTAGTGAGACCATTTCAGGGAGTTAGCAATGGAGGTGCACAAAATCATACCCTGAAATGACGGAAAAATCCTGATGATAATAAAACAGCCATGCTGATGTTAATAATAAGCAG